GCCGGAAGTATTCAAGAAGATTAATTGAAGACCGAATATTGCAAGGCAAGTCACACAGATCCTAAACACAATCCTTTGAGCATGTTGATCCTATATTTAAATTCTCTCTTTATTTCAACTGTGCATTTATTTTCGAATGTCACTGGGTGGTGTGAATCTATTCCTTTGTTATGGCCTGTTTGCATTGATTACTTTATTCCTTGATACCTTGGGTTATTATAACTTGACTAGTTGAGCTTTATATATTGGTTCAGCTAGATATTAGATATGATTGCTTAGCCATGCTTAGAAACATTAGCACACTATTGGGATAACTTATGACTCACTATTATTTAATGATGGCTTAATAATAGTTCACGATAGTCAATCGTGATTGGTTAATTAATTACTTGCCAACTAAAACTTGATAATGGTGGGTTGTGAGCACATGGTTTTGAGAGTCGCGCTCATGACAATTAAGGACCGGTTCGCGAGCTACTATTGTGAAACATTAACCGTGCCAACCACAAGCCAACGTGGGCAACGGCTTTACCTTTTGTATAGCATGGTTCATTGCGGAGCACCAGACTGAGAAGTGGCGGAGATAAGTCCACGGGGGTCGCTGGGGAGTCCATGCCTTGTTTTATAAGGGGGTGATTATGATCCAGGAATGGTGCACTGTGGTGAGTTGTGTTGTGCAGAGGGTATTGTCACAGCCTCTATTCGGGTACTTTCCAGTATCGCGACGCATGGTAGACATGATGTTGAGGCTGTGTCTTGTGGGTACAGTGGTACACCTCTTGCCAGAGTAAAACTATTCGAATAGCCGTGCCCGCGGTTATGGGCGGGTTGAGCAATGTTTTTCGTGATTAGTCTCACACCTCTCACAATAATTATGGATGTTATACCTGGTAATAATTTGCTTAGCTCCTGGTTTGGAGTTAGATCTGTATAGCCGGGTATGGTTGTTCAGGATGGTTGGGCCTGTGCAGCATGGGTGTGCTGTTCAGTGTTGATTAAAATTTCTAATTAATTACTCTACTGTTTTACTACTCTTAACTCTTTGCTAAATGCTGCTTTCGCAAATGAGACTATATTGTGCCATCCTTTGGTATCCTTGTGCATTTGCATATTTGCTGTGTGGCTTGTTAAGTATGTCATATGCTCATTCTTGCAATAATCAATCAACCTCAGTTGAAGAAAAAGGATCCAGAAGGAGAAGACGTTTGGCTTATACCCCAGTTGAGCTGCCTGTGGGAGTGGAGCTGAAGCCATCGCTAGACCGTTATTCCGCTGCTGTTTTCTTTTCTTTTGTAAGTGTGTAACGTTATTATTATGATGGATTTGTATATTAAATTGTCAGTTTGTGTACATCAGTTGATTCCTGGATGAGGATTTTATGCACAAATTAGTTCGGAAATTATTAGTGAATTTCCAGGCGTGACAGAAACCATATTCCGAGACCAAGCTATTCCCAACTTGACTCATTAGTAGCAAACAACAGTATTACATACGTATAGAATCCATCTAGAAACCATAACCATGAAACAATCACGGATATCCAAAGAAACAACCCGAAACCGAAACCGACTCAGCGTCGGCCGGTCAGACCGCGGGCCTGGCCGGTCTGACCACACACATAGCACCGGTCTGACTGGCAACCTCCACCCGGTCGGACCGGTCACATAAAATAACAGTGAATCCGATCATCACCTGAAAATTGATTATCTCCAAAACATGCCAATTGTTTATCACAGAATAAGAATTAAAACACACATTGATCTTATAGCGTTTTCTTCCGTGTTTGGTTTCCGATGTGATTTTGGAGCCACTTTTATAACAAGTATGTCCATACTTATTATACTATGTTTTGTCACATCCAATTCTAGGTTTGTTTTTTTACAGAAGAAGTAGGCACTTACTTTATATCTAAAATTTGTAGTACTATAGTATGTAATATCCAATATTAATTTTATTTATTTCGATACGGAGGAAATATTATTCAGTTCTGTTTTTTCAATCGGTGAACCCAATAGACCCTTAACATACCGCACTTGACTTTGACGTGCATTACGACCTAATTTGATTTTGAATTTTCGAATATGATTTTTTATAAGTAATTTTAGGTAGATTAACAAGCAACGAAAATGAACGAAAATTACTAAGTAAACCACTGAAATCAATCTGAAATAAAATTTTAAAACTTATATGAAGATTTGCCTAGCAACACCTTAGTTTGATGCTGATGGCATTAAACGGGTATGCAGATGCCCATGCTCCAGAGTCCAGAGGGCTATTAGTGCGTTTAATTTCCATACCTCTCTGTTCGTGCGAATATGATAGTTGTGGTGTAGATATTTTTAAATAATGAAATAGGCGTCATGTGTAGTGTAGAGATATGGCATATGTGAAAAATGTGTCAAGCCGTGCTCTTGGAAGTATAATCCTAATCAATAAAAACAGAAACTTGCACGACTGTACGATCTCCAGTTCTCCTTTGGGAGTAACTAGTTGGTTTGAGTTTTGTTTTTTAATGGGTTTGATTTGATTCATTGATTGTGATGCCCTTTAATCATTGTAGTCTTATAATGTCGTCGTACTCACCCGTGTTTCATATTAGACGTCGTTTCAACCATTTCTACTAATTATTTTTTAAAGTTTCATCAAGTTTAAAAATATATAGCAATATTTTAAACACAAAACAATGATATTATTAAAAATATATTCAATATTACATTTAATTAAACTAACTTAGTGTTATAGATGTTGCTAAATTTTTTCTATAAACTTGATTAAATCTAAAAAAAATTGACTGGATAAAAATAGATAAAATGACTTATAATATGAAACAGAGATAGTACGGTGTACTTTACTCCTTTAGATGTTTTACAGTCATACTTCCATGCGGATATTTTCCTTGTAAAATTCATGTTGAGCATCCAAACAACTCATTTGACAAATTACAATGTTTTAAATTTTCATATAATAGCATATGCCATGACATTTAATTAATATGTTTTTCTTCTTTTTTTGTGACTTTCTACTCATGTGTTCGAAAGGAGCACCAAATCAAACAGTCCGCACCGCACGTTAATACTGCTAGTCTCGCGAGGGATTTGGAAGTAAATGAATCAAGAACCTTTCAGCACAAGTAGCTCTGGGCAACCGGCCTAGTCACAAAGATCAGGGAGAAGCCCAAGGGCCTCAGAAAATTGGCTACTTGGTTGACTAGTCACTAGCTGGGTTTAAGGATCTAGCTTTTACTTTTGGGAGTATCTAAAATACCGCCGCAAATTTTTTTAGTGAAGAACTTTTAGAAGTAACTATAGTATAATAGAAATATAACTGTATTGTAATTATACTGTAACCTATATAAAACTTGTATTTAACTATGATTTGATTGACTATCATCGGGATTTTACACGTGACATGTGTGATAATTTTTTCTAGCAATTTTTTCTCAGTATGTACAAATCTCGAAGCGATCCGATGACTACAAATCTGCAAGCTTTGAGAGAAAAACTTACGGAAGTTTTCTAGCAATTCCGTTACTTTTTCTCCTTTTCCTTACTGTACAGTTTGTTTATATTGACGCTCCTCCATTCGTTTTGAAAAAAAGAAAGAAAGAAAGAAAGGAGCCCTCAACCGGCAACGGATGGTTCACCCGACCAGCCCACGGCCCGCGCGTGTCGCTGCCTCTGATCCCGCGCGCGGCAGTGATAAACTTCCGGGAGTTTGCACATGGGCCTCCGTTCGCGGACGCCACAGGCCACAGCCCCTGTAACAGCCACGCACCATCATCTCCGTCCCTTTCGCGGAAAAAAGGCCCCCACGGCCTCGTAACCGCGACTGTCTCCGCGCCGCGCGCACGACACCGCCGGTGTGCGAGTGGATGCACGAGGCGCGACTCGCGAGAGACGGCTCGGCGCCGACGACCGAAGAGTCGACGCCGGTGTTCGCTTGCTTGCTTGCTGCTGCTGGTGGTGGTGATTTCCGTAGTAAAGTTAGTATGGAGCCATCGTTTCATGAAACGGTATATTTGTAAACGAAAAATAATTACTTACGTATTCATAGCGATCCAAAAAAAAAAGGCTAAACAATAAATTTCGATGAAAAACCTTAGAATCAACTTTAAATTTAAGATTAAAAATTTAAATTTTGGCTGATAAGTATAATCATAAGCGAAAAGCGAAAAGATAAGTACCTAGAGTTATAAGGGCTTGCTGTAGTAAAGTTGACTTGAGAAACGTACTTCCCGAGTGTTTCACTGACTGACTGCTACTAACATACTCTTACTCCAGTAGAGAAACGAACACATGTTCAAAAACTTAGACTAATAATTCACGAGTCAAATGGGGATCGAACCGAAGATCTGAACTAGTGAGAACATTAATTTCTCACCGGAACAGAATCTCTGGACACGCAAAAAAAACTAACCGCATGTGAGGAGACGAGCACACCATATGCTCGTCGCACATGGTTGGCCTCTAAATTTCTACGGACGATCGACACGCCAAAGGCAAGCGAAGAATCCTTCAAAATTTCGAACATAAACTACGTGTTCCTATAGTCCTATCTGTGAATCTTTCAACTCGGCACAACCACTCGCCAATGACGGTTCATCTCACACTTGTTGTTTATGCCAAGATGGAACAACCTCATCAATCATCAGTGTACTGTAGTAGACTGAACATATCTTACCATGACATGGCTCACGTGGCTGGTGGTGGTGAGCATCAATGGGAGTGATTTGAAATGAATCATTTCGTACATGGAAGGGACTGATTCATCAAAGACCTACACTGTCGGTCACAACGGAGTACTCCCTTCGTCTAAAAAAAAAAAAGTAACCGAAGATATCCCTCCCTAGTATAACGAATTTGGATAAATTACTAGGAGACGGAGGGAGTAGTAGTGATCTTCCTTTCCTTCTTGAAAAATCAATTATAGTAGTACGTAGTTGTTTTTCTGAATAATGAACTAGTGAAATGTCATCGTCAAACAGAGGAGCAGAAGAGATGTAGTAGAAATGTAAGAGAAACCCCTTTTCATATTCATTCATCCATCAGCAGATGAGTAATTATGAATTATGATCGTAATACGTTGTAAAAAAAAATACTCCAATTCGATCCTACAAACATTGCCTACTATGTCCAAAAGAATGGCTCTTTCAAATCAATTCAAAATAGAATCAAGTGTGGAGAAGCATGAACAATGTGCTGCTGTTGCAAATTTGACTCCAAGAACTCTCTCTCTCTCTCTCTCTCTGATCATCACCACAGGAGCATCAAGCTACCAGCCAATGCCATCACCAAGCCATTGACGACGCCGGCGCCGACGCCGCACGCGGCGCTCGTCGAGTCCGCCTTGCCGCCGCCGGCGCCCGTCTTGCCGGACGCCGGGCCGGGCGCGAGGTCGGACGCCCCGGACACCGGCGCCGGGGCGGGCGCCGGCGCCAGCGGCGGGTCCTTGCTGAAGATCTGCATGGGCAGGAGCACCTTGTTGAGCGCGTACACCGCCACGGGCCTCGTGGCGTACACGCTGCTCGAGATCTTGGGCCTGGACCACATCGACTGCACGGAGATGGTGCCCATGTCGTCGGTGAGGTTCAGCGTGTACGGCGCGCCGGCGAACGTGTTCACCGGGTTGAGCTCGCTGAGGTTCTTGAACTCGGCCAGGGAGTAGAACTTGGGGAACGCGTGGTACAGCAGCAGCGTCTTGAGCTGGTCGCCGGTGAGGTTGGAAAAGGTGGACTGCTTGATGGCGGCGAACGCCGAGTCCTTGGGGACGAAGATGGTGACGCCCTCCTTGGTCTTGTTCGCCTGGCTCTGGAACGTCTCGATGACGTTCGTCTTCTCCAGGTAGTTGAGGAACGTGTGGAACGGCCCGGCCACGCTGAGGAGCTCGGCGAGGTCGACGTAGTGCGGCGCCGGCGCCGGCGCCGGAGCCAAGCTCGGTGGAAGCGACACCGGCGACGGCGCCGCCGGCGGGCTCTTCTTCTGAGCCAATGCCGGTGACGGCGACGATAGGAGGACGGCTACGACGGCGGCCGCGAACATGGCTGCTTTGAACTCCATCTTCTCTTCTCCTCTGATCCTGATCCCTGAGATCATTTAAGCAATGTACATTGTACAGTGATCAATGCAAGATGAATTTTCTTGATCATAAAAACCAAAATGTTTGTTTGTTTTTTGGCTGAGATCTATCTGTATTTGAACTGAACTGCTTAGTGACATCACGATCATTAGATCTAGTTTAGGTGGTCACATTATAGTAGTAGTCTGATAGTGTCACCTACCAAAATCAGGACACATGATAAACTGGTTGCTTCAACAACAAAAAAGATACTTATGTCTTTTAGATCTCAGCACAGCACAAAGACAAAAAGAGAAGGACCAACTACCAAAGCTGAACATTCAAGAGTCTACACCAAGCATACACAACAATCTTCGCTTCGACTTAAAGAAAAAGAGATACCCTCATGTGCTAAAAAAAATCTTAATTTCTCAAGATCATTCAAGAATTACATATGAAAAAGATCAAAATATACCATAAGCATAAAAGTACATTCAACAATAAGTAGCCCCAAGCTATTAACCACAATGACTCAATGAGATGAAACTATGAAATTTGCAAAAGGTAACAACAACTCCAAATTGCATTGCAAATGCAGGGGAGAATTCAGATTCTGCAAACCTGAGCAGAGCAGGGGAAGGAGAAGAGAAGAGAAGAAGAGGGCAACTGGACGGCAAAGTGTTGAGACTTGAGGGGAGGGGATGCTATATAGAAAGGTTGGTGTTTGTGTGGAAAGGAAGAGAATAAATTATGAGATTCATATGGGGGGTGGCGGCTGTTGCGGCCATTGCATTGCAGGTCAGTAGGCACCACCACGACCACACCTCTCAACCAAGAGGTGCATAATGAAAGCTGGCCAGGTATTAGCTGCCCTTTTCTTTCTGTCCTAGCTTTCTTCCCTCCCTGTTCTTGAGTAAATTGCACTGCTTGTTTAGTGTTAGTACCATTATTAAGTGCTTGTAGAATTAGTTTTAAGTTTTTGTACCTCGTGCATATCGTGTACGGATCACCGATACATAAGTGTACACGATAATTTCCATTCTGTTTGTTTCGATTTATTTGAGAGAAATAGGGTAGCATTTATCTCACATTTACTGATAAATTCCTCTTCACATTTGATGTTTGTAATGTTTTGCCTTTTCTTGGTGTATGTAATATGGGAACAAATGGCGCAAACGTGTATTTTTCGCACTCTTTTTTTTCCCTGGAGTGTGTACTGTCTGGCCAAGATACTAGTTTTAATGTAAAGTCCAACTTGTAATTGTGCAGTGTTGTATTTCTCGCAAATCTGACTTCTCAAAACCAACTTGCAGGCTTTGGCATTTTTTAATTGTTCTTGTTCAAAACTGTAAGATGACTAATGTAATTTTTCTATTCACTGTCTGGCACCTAGATCCATTAGACAAACAAAAATATTTTAGCATATTTTGCAAGTACAGATGCATGCAGGACAAAGAAGATTGCACAATGTACTGAGAAGTAAGGGTGTGTCCTCAAAGGTCAGAGCACAGAAATTCCAATTTGAAGTACTATCTGCAGTGAAAGGGAATCACTCTTTGCTGGAGCTCAGACCATGTACTGCAAACTTCAGAAGACACTGATGAGTATAGTATAGAAGTTGATTATCAAGGCTATTTCTCGGAAGAATCCAATTCAGCTTAGGCCTTAGGGTATCATGTGTGGTTTATAAATTTGACAACGCAACCAATGCTCCATTTCTATCAAGGATTCCCCCAACTTGCTTGATACTCAAAGTACTAAGACCAAACTCATTTTTTCTCCTTAAAGGAACCAAACATAGAACCTTTTTCCATGAAAAAATGTGGCAAACTGCTATCAGCTAGCTTTTTTTGCTTCCCGATAATGATATTTCCAGAAAAGAAAAGAATACATCTCTTGAATAGAGTTCATGTTAAAGTATAATCACATTAAAAAGGTACGATAGCTTCCATTTCTAGTCACCTTTTCAACTGCACCCTATGTGTAACTGGCAGCTTTTGTTGCAGATTAAACAGAAAATGCCCGGCGACAAATTAAATATTGTACACTTTTAATTTTCATAGAGTATTGTTGTGATTAATTGTGTACTTCTTTCTTGTGAACCCCCCCCCCCCCCCAAAAAAAAAAGCAGCAAGGATAATAAAATATACTGAACATAGTATATAAAAATTGGATTCGAATAATTGGAAATCATAACCGAATGAGCTATTTGAGCTGATTTTGTAGTGTCGGTGAGATGACCACTTGACTCGTGTGATGGCCTGATGCAGCTTGTATCTGGTGGGATTAAGCATCTTCCCTTGCATCAAATGTAGAATAATAATTGTTCAGCGGTAGGTAACAACTCGTTAATCATCCGAGAAATGAAAACTCATTTCATGAGCTGTCATTGCCAATTAGGCTTTAAGAAAAAATAGATTTCGTACCGCTTCGTCATTTCCAATCAAGTGAGATCCTTAAAATCCATTGACTACAAAATCGACGGATCTGACAGCATATTGGAATTTTCATATCTATATCGATGACTCAGTTAAAAATTACTACCGACAGAATGATTTTTATTCCTATATAAAAAAATATAACTTTGTGTACAGACTATCTCCAATACATTTCAACAATATCATATCTTTTGTGCATATCAAGCTATATTGAGCTTTCTTAATTAATATATCACATTGTGGAAATAAAATTCCTTGGAGGCCAGCAGGTTATAATTAATGAAACCAATCCAATTTTCAACTTGTTTTTCTCCTTTCCAAGAAACGTGAACATTGGTTAAAATATACTATTTCTTCCATTTAAAGTCATTCTGCCAAGAACAGAGCCCTTGTTTTTGTTTCTTCTAGAACTGCAGTAAGCAATGCACTACTCCTTAATATTAAACAATCAATGCCTACTTCAAGATTATACTAGTACTCACTACTCAGTAGCATAAAGTCACCTTCTCCTTTCACTACCTCTGACTTCTCTAATGAACTTGAATAGAACAGTTGTTTTAAGTGGTTGCTGCCCTTATGGATCACTTCTAGTTAACCTACCCCCTTAAACTGTAGGGTGATGCAATCCCTGAGAACTTCGCATGTAACCTTCTTTCTCTTTTTGACTATCCCCAAAATCTTTAACATCATATTCAGGTCACATTACGGCCATCAGAAGGAAACAAATCACTAAACAATTACTACATCTCCTAAATAATCGACTCTGCATTTTCGTAGCAGGGATGTTTGTCCACATGAAACATGATTCCTTCCCATCACACCGAAGAAAAGCATTGCATTTGATAGCTTTGTTTAATGAATCCAAGACCAGAAAAAATAAAAAAAACTAATACTATGTGTTTCCATTCCTGCATGCAGATGACGATGCCTTATTCTTCAGCATGGCAGGAGATGTCCCTGGAATGCAATTATTGTGGACTAATGACACGATAACCACCGGAAAATGAACACGGGAAAAGGAGAGGATTGACGTAGAACGGGGAGAAATGGTTGTCACGAAGCACACGCTTTGCTGGACAAACATCCACATCTGCCGCCATCGTTCAAACAATGCATCCATCCACGCAAAGAAAAAGGCAAATCGAAAGCAATTTTCTTTCTCTTGCAAGGCATGCCATGCCTGTCAATTCAGACTTCAGAGCATCAAGGAAGCAGGCTATTGGGCTCACAGATTTTTGGGCTTTGGGGACATGGGCTTTTGCAGTCCAGTTCTATTTAGTAGGCCGTGTCCGAGGCCTACGCAAATGCATTCCAAATTTCCAATACAGCCCACGTGCATAAACTTTCGTGGCCCATTTGTTTCCTGCCCGTTTTCCCTTTCCCTTAGGAGGCCCGTTGGCCCATGGAATTTGAGTGGGTTTATACTAGCCTAACACGTACACTACTAATTTTTGCATAAATTTTATACATTAAAACTTTATGTATAAAGGGCTGGTTTGGTTTGTGGCCTAAATTGGCCTTACCAATTTTTGGTAAGTTTTGGTATGACTAATTTTGAGAAGGTAAAGTTGTATTTGGATTGAAGCCAAAATAGCCTAAGTTAACTATTAAAATGGCATATTTTCTTAGGCATGCCAAAATTTGGCTTTAAACCAAATAGACACTAAACACTATTGAAATTGCCAAATATTGGTAAGCCAAATTTAGGCTTAAAACCAAACCATCCCAAAATTATTTGATATATGCACTTTGCTAATGAATTTTAGAAGAATTTTAAAACAATTTCAAAAAGAAAAAAATATATTCTATGAACTTTCTATTGTGGCGTCTAAACTACCCTACGCACACTTTTAGGGCGAAATTGTTTTAGGGGCAAACTGTGCCAAAAAAAAACAAGATGCGTGGTAGACATTTCATTCATTGGCATGGTTTAATGCAAACAATTTTGGGGACCAAAATTTAAACCGAATATTTTAAATATAAAAGTCAACTTGAAACAATTTTTAACTGAATATGTATGCTTTTGAATTGACAAATTGTAATTTTATGCCAAAAGCACATCCTATCGGGACCCACAAACAAACCCAAAACGATAAATAATTTGTGAATAAAACTTTTACCTACGTGTTCTTAACGACCTAAAAGTAAAGGCTGAAAAATAAACTTCGATGAAAAAAAAATCTCAAAATCAGCTTTAAATTTAATATTAAAATTTAAATTTTGGTTAATAATTAAACATAAGCATACATAAAAGATGGGGCCGTAGGAGTCCTATTCGTTGGTCACCGTATGGGCCTCACATGATGAGAGTACATGGGCATCATAGAAACTTCTTGAAATCGAGAGAAACCAGTGGCCGATCGAGGTGATGTCTGTCGGCAGACCAACCACAAATCGGCACAAGTTTAAGGAGTAAGGACCATCGGTGTGGTAAAGTGGGCTTGGCACATGCTGTTTCATTTCATGGTATCCTCTATCTCGACCAACTTGCTGCTGATGCTGCTGCTTGCCTGCTTCTGCCGGACGCCTTTCCTCAAAGTGATGAAGTTGCCAAACCTGATTTGAGCTACGGACCAAAGTTAGCTTGCCAATTACTCCCTCCGTCACCACAATATAAGAGTTTTTAAGTTTTTGCTTACAATATTTAACCACTTGTCTTATTTAAAAAATTTGTGTAAATATGAAAAACGAAAAGTTATGCTTAAAATACTTTGGATAATAAAGTAAGTCAAAAAAAATAAATAATAATTTTAAAATTTTTTAAATGAGTTAAATGGTCAAACAGTATAAGTAAAAACTCAAAATCCCTTATATTATGGGACGAAGGGAGTACTATTTGGCTCAACTGCAACTGCACGTACTATATTCACATGCTAACATAAGCTTTGCGTAAGTGCTTGGTTTTACAACAATAAATGAAGGAAAAGTTCTTCGCTTCTTCTGCCTCTGCAGCAATGCTATGTTTAATTTAACCACGCACAGAGCAAGGCGCAGATTCGCCGCGTCCTGTCAATGATATTCCAACTCACTGTCACTGTCATATGATCTGCAACCTGCCTAAACCGGCCCGAATCCATGGGCTTCCTCTCCTTTTCTTTATACAACAGCTAGCGTATCTCCCTCGAGGCGAACAAGAACTTTGCTTACGTTTAGCATTTCTTCACTTGGCGAAAAACAACTCGTCAACATTGGCACATCCCACAGCATATTACCAGGCCAAAAACCATGCGCAATAATCTGATTAATTAACGCGTTGTAGACACGCGGATTCGACAGTATAAATAGCGGCAACTCGTTCTCACATCTCGTCAAACACCTACAACACCTGAACCAGCTGAGAGCTAGCCAAGAATTCGATCGGGCGAGATGAGCGTGGAGATTTTGGATGGGAGGACGGTGGAGAGCTTCGTGGAGGACGAGGGGGCCTTCAACTCGACGGTGGACGACCGGTTCGCGGCGCTGGACGGCGACCGGGACGGCAGGCTGTCCTACGCCGACATGGCCGGTGAGCTGATGAGCCTCCGCGTGCTGGAGACCCACTTCGGCGTCGACGGCGCCGCCGCCACGGACGCCGAGCTCGTCGACCTGTACCGCGGCCTGTTCGCCCGGTTCGACCGCGACGGCGACGGCGCCGTCGACCGTGAGGAGTTCCGCGCCGAGATGAAGGAGGTGATGCTCGCCGTCGCCAGCGGCCTCGGCTTCCTCCCCGTTCAGATGGTCGTCGAGGAAGGCAGCTTCCTCAAGAGGGCCGTCGAGAGGGAGCTCGCCAAAGCTGCCTGATCATCGCCATCGCCATCGCCAGGCGTCAGAGATTCTGCCTACAGATTTGCAGGTGTATCGAGAGATTTTTGTAGTATTTACAGAGTGTATACTAATCAAGTGCGTACTGTCCTCTTGCTGAAATGGCATTTCAGCCTTTCAGCTATGTAATCCGGGATGGAAAATTTTGTTTGATCTGAATTATTTGGTGTCAGCAATAAAATCAACGTTTCGATGAAACGATTTCGAGTACTACAAACATGATTTCAGTGGGAATTGTGAAATTATTTTCGTGTTCTAAAGTGGAGCTAAACGCTGACACTACTCTGCTTGCCACGGGCGTCGTCAATGTCGGACAGCAGCTGCGCGAACGCGGCGCGCGACGAGCCGCCGTCTTTCCAGGCCATGGCCGTGGCTTCCCTGTGCGCCTCGACGCGGTCTCTCAGCTTCCTTCCTTGCTCGGACTCCATGACCAGCCTCACCTTCGCCTCCACCTCGCCGGCGGTGACACGCCCTTCCAGCCATCCCTCCATCTCCACGCCGACGCCCATCTCCTCCACCCATGAGCACCTTGTTCATCCTCTGTTCCGCGTACAGCGGCCAGCAGAGCATCGGCACGCCCGCGGTGATCCCTTCCAGTACCGAGTTCCACCCGCAGTGTGTCACGAACACGGCGGCGGAGGATGCTCGGCTGGGGCTCCCAGCTGTTGACGACGAGGCCGTGGCCGTAGGTGCGGAGCCCAATAGACGAAGGGGGTTCTCAGGCACCTGGTCCAATTTTTAGCTTTAGTACTTACCCCCCCTATTTTCATCACATGGGAAACCCCTCGGCCTAAATTCGTGCATCACCCGTGACCTATGAGCAAGTCGTGGAAGGTCTAAGGCCCATGAAAACGGCGCGCCGTCTGGGCTACTGGAAGCGAGACGACGCCTCGGAGCGTCAATCACAACCACGCCGGCGCCGCACACCTTCTCGACTCCCGTTTTTCGCTTTTGTTTCTTTCTTTTTCCTAACCGCAATACGGCATCTGTACGGCTGTGTGTCTGTTTGTCTTTGATCCAACACAATCTCCTCTCGCCACTGCTCATCGAGTCGCCGTCTACTCCTGCCACTCACACTCAGGCACTCATCCGTTGGTCGTCGACTCACCATTGCTCGCCATCCTGGCCTGCTACTGGTCGCCCTAGCCGGCCGCTGGCAGCATTACAACTAGGACCGTATATCTGATTTGATACCTTAAAACAAAAATTTTTGCCATCTAAACCGAGCCTAAGTCAAGGCATGAACCCTGAGGTGCCTCCTCTTCCCGAGATAGACACACTCGTTCCTTCTTTCTCACTCTTTCCTGACTTTCTCATTCCTTCTCTCTCACTCTTTCCTGACTTTCTCTTGTAGTAGCTGACGAGGGTGTCGTCCACCACTTTAAGCTAACATGCGAGTTAAAATTCAACTTATATAATTCTAAACAAAAATAATAAATTTGATCGTGAATTGCACGTTCACTTCATAGTCAAATTTGTTATTTTTGTTTCCACTTGTATAAATTGAATTTAAATTTGCATGTTTGTGAAGTGGCATATCACATATTGGTCTATCCTATCAAATCTTTTCAAATTTTTTGATGACTTTTTAAGTGACATGCAAAAATGAGAGGATTTCCCATTAAGGTATGATTTGAGTTTTCCGGATTCCTGCATGATATCGTTCTCACCCTGCTCGATTCAAGGGTGCAGATGTAACGCTCCGCTTTTCGTGAGACGTTAAAAACTAATTCGGCAAAATCCTAATTGCGAAAATTTCGTTCTTTGAGTGTGAGTTTAAGTCGTGCCATGGATCTCAATTCAATCTCCATCGTTGTTCCCTCTCGTCGCCATCAAAATCGCCCACCTCGAGATTCCAATTCCGATTCAAGTCTCCAAATCAAATTCCAAAATTCAAGTCCTCTCTTTGAAATCCTCACCAAATTTTCGCCCGACCCCCAAAATATCCAAAATTTCCCCTTTTGATCATTTCCTAGACCCTTCCTCTCATCCAGATCCCAATCCAGAAGTCCAAGTCAAATTCCATGTTCAAATCTTCTCCAAATCAATTTCTTGGAAGAAGTCTATTTTGCATCCCTCTATTTTGGATGGACCAATTTCGCGCGCTGCCGCTCTGCCGCTGCACGCCGCTAGCATCCAAAACCGGGAGGCAGAGACCTCCGTGGTCACCACCGGCGTCACCCCCTGTCCGCTGCTCCAAGTCGCGTCCTTCCAAACAATGGAGGCAGAGCTCCTCTCCCTCCCTGTCCCCACCCTCTCTCCCTCTCCCTCTCTCTCTGTTTCTCTCTCTCTCCCGACGAACTCCCCTCGGCGCCGATTCCCGCTGCTGCCTTTTCGAATTTCGCCGCGCCCTCGCGTCGCGCACGCGCTCGCCCGCGCGTGGCCGACTGCTCGGTCGCCGCCACGTTAGCCCTGGCTGCCTGCGCCGCGCAGCAGCCCATGCCGCCCTGCCACTCGCTCCACCTGTGCGCGCGTGCGTCCAAGACGTGGAGGCAGAGCCTCGGCTCCCCTCTCTCATGCGCTCTCCCTCCTCCCTCTGCTCGCCCAAATCGGCAAGGAGCCGAGCTCCTTTCCTCTCCCCTTTTTGCTTTTTCCCTCTCAGCCCGGCCACCCGTGACCACCTCCACTGCCGCCGCTTGGCCGCTAGCTCCGAGCACGACTGCCAGCCGAGCTCCCTTGACCACCTAAGTCGGTTTCCTCCCCCAAAACCGACTTCCCGTGCCTATAAAACCCAAGCCAAGCTCCTCCTCCTCTCTATCCCTCTCGTCTTCGCCTGCCGCGCCTTGTCGCCCTGCTCGGCTCGCACCGTCGCCGTTCGTCGCCAAGCACCAGGGAGGCCGGTGCGTGCATGGACGTGTGACGAGGAGCTCCGGGCACCTCTTCTTCCCCTTTCCCGGCCGCTCCCGGAGAGCTTGCTCCCGCGCCGCCGTCGCTCGTCACGGCGCCCTGTCCCGAAGCGATAGCCCTCCGTTCCTCTTCCTCGCTCGCCCTCCTCCTCCTTTAACTCGCGTGGTAGCTCAGTTAGTGTAACGCTCCGCTTTTCGTGAGACGTTAAAAACTAATTCGGCAAAAATCCTAATTGCGAAAATTTCATTCCTTGAGTGTTGAGTCTAAGTTGTGCCAAAGATCTCAATTTAAATCCCTCCCTTGTCTCGATACCCTGTTATCAAAGATCGTCTCCTCAAAATTTCCATCCCAATGTAGTCCCGAAGCTCGATTCCTTCTATTCGGAATCCCCTCCTGGAACCCCATCCGTGAACTTTGTCGAATGCCCGAACCCTAACTCCGTCCAAGGATTCACCTTCGCGTCATAAACTCTCTCCTTGGTTCCTTCAAACCGATTCTCAAATTCGAATTCAACCTCTTAGGTTTTGATTCATCTATCTTTCTCTCTGTATTGGTTCATCAATCTACCCTGTTTTCTTTCTCGAACTTCTGACCCAAGTCTGAATATGCAAATCGAGATCACTTCCACCCTTGAACTCTAAATCCCAAGATTCAATCCCCTTCGCCTTGAGTTCTCCCCAAAATGATTTCCGTTCCGAAATAATCTTGAAGTCCGAACCCTTCTATTCAGACTTCTCTCCAAAATCCTTACCCACATATCTCGTTGAGTAGTCAAACTCAAACTCCCAAGTTACACTCTCTTTCTCTAAATTATCCATCCCCTTTTGACTCGTCTCCGAATATTGTTCCCTTCCTTGACTCCTTCCTATTCTCCCGAGACCGAGTATCAACCCCGAAATTCGAATCTAGACTCCAACTCTAAAACCTCCCAATTAAATCTCTCTGTGAAAGTCTATTTAACCTCCCTCATAGGTTGGATTCCTTCTTTCTTTTTCCGATCCACCTCTTCCTTCTCTTCCATCCCATCTCTCTCTGAGTCTCGATCTATCTATCTATCGATCGATCCATCTATCTATCTACTATACCTATCTATCTGTTTATCTATCCATCTGTCAATCCATCTGTCTATCCGTCCCTCTACCTATCAACCTACCTTTCTGTCTATCTATCTATCCATGGCATTCTACCGCTATCTCCCTTGTTCCATTTTTGAATAATGATCTTCCATTTTTGAAATCCTCTGAAATAATCCTTCGTGCCGCCAAATATAAATCCATCCCAAAAATACCAAAATTCCCGCTTTTGAAGCCCTTTCTTGACCCCTCCCTTGGATCCACCTTGAACCCTCGTGTACAAATACACAAATTGAATTCAAATTCAATCTCCACATCAAACTTCTCTCCAAATCAAACCTTCCAGTAAAAGTCTATTTTGCCTCCCTCCAACTCGCTCGGGCCGAAACCATCCTCGGCCCATCCTCTTCTTTCGCCAGCCTCTCCATCGCACGTGTGCCGCACGTGACTCCCTCAGAGAGCGCCCTCTCTCTCTCTCTCTCTCGGCGTCGCTTCCCGCCGACACCGCCCAAAATTCCGGCCGCCTCCTTCGATTCCCGCGCGCCCGTGCGAGTGGCCGACCGCCTGGGTGCCGCCATCGCCACCCTCGGTCGTCGCCTGCCCCGACGACCACCGTGTCCGCGCTTGCCTTCAAACCGTCCCCGTCCTTTTGCAGTCATCGCCGGCGTCATCCTCTCGGGCCCGGCGCCCCATGCCGCATGCATCCAAAACCGTGAGGCGCGGCTCGTTCTCATCCCTTTCCTCCCAAACCGGAAGGAGCAAAGCTCCCTTTCCTCCTCCTCCTTTCGCTTTTTCCCCTCCCGGGTAGCGAGCTCCCTGTCACACCCCGAAGTTCTCCTCCCAAGCCAAATTTAATTTGTAAACAACCCCAAGAAAATGCAGGTGCAAATCAAGAGAAAACCCTAAGAAAGTAATGCAAATAATAATCGGATTGGGCATGTGGAATTTTTCTTGAGTTCTACATGTCGAAATTCATTAACAGGATTTTTAGTGGAATTTTCAGAGCTCTAGAAATAATTTTAACCAATTAAAATTGAGCAAGCAATATTTTAATTCCAGGGAAAATCCTTTTTCCTTTTTCTTTTTCTTTTTCCTCTCTTTTTCCTCTTTTTTTTCAAATGGGCCGTCGGCCCATTTTTTTTCCCTTCCTTCCCCCCCTCCCTGCTGGGCCGGCTGCAGGCCGAGGCCCAGCCAGGCCGCCCGCCGCCCTCCTCTCCCGGGGTCGCCGACAGGTGGGGCCCACCTGTCGGGTCCTTCCCCCACCTCCGGCCGACGCCGCGCCAGCAACCGCCGCGCCCGAAA